GACAGGCACAAGTCAGGAGATGGATACAAAAAAATTTCAAAGGTTTATCCATGCCTAGAAGCACAGTGACGTCTATTATTAAGAAGTGGAAGGTATTTGGTTTAACACAGACCCTCCCTGGATCAGGACGTTGCTCCAAACTGAATGAAAGAGCCAGGAGCTCAGAGCTCAGAGAGACTACAAAGAGGCCTACAGCAACTCTGAAGCAGCTGCAGGAAATTATGACAGTCATTGTGTATTGTGTGCCTGTGACAACAATATCACAAATTCTCCACAAATGTGGCTTGTATGGGAGGGTTGCAAGAATGCAGTCACGACTGAACTTTGCCAAAACACACCTTGAAGATTCTGAGGCAGATGAGACTAAAATTAAATTATTTGGCCTCAACACCTAACGATATGTCTGGCCTAAATCCAATACAGCTCACCATCCAAATAACACCATTCCTACAGTAAAGCATGGAGCTGGTAATATCCTGTTATGGGGTGTTTCTCTGCAGCAGGGACTGGAGCACTTGTCAGGATAGAAGGAAAAATATAAGGGGCAAAATACCGTCAAATTCTTGAGGAAAATCTGCTGCCCTCTGCCAGAAGATGTCAAGAGAATGGTAAGAAGGTTTACCTTCCAACATGACAATGACCCAAAGCACACAGCAAACCTGAGCACACAGTGGTTGAAGGAGAAAAAGGTGAATGTCCTTGCGTGGCCTAGTCAGAGCCCAGACTTAAACCCCACTGAAAATCTGTGGAATGACTGCAGTCCACAAATGGTCACCATCAAATTTAACTGAACTTGAAGAGTTCTGCTCAAGTCTAGATGTGCAAAGTTAGTAGAGACAAATCCCAACAGACTAAAGGCTGTAATTAAAGTAAAAGGTGGTTCAACAAAATACTGACACAAGGGGGTGATCTGAGTAAATACAGCTGGATAAAACAAAAAATGTGTCCATCTTTATTTCAGGCTGCAAAGCAACAAAATGTGATTATTTTAAAGGGGGTGATTCTTTTCCCACTGTACGTCCCTTTGTAGAGCAGAAAATCTCACCGTCAACAGAATAATTTTTCATCCTGTTTAAAAAATGTATTTGCTCTCTTTGTTTCTGTCTTACTCACTCTGTTCCTCACACAGAAGAAGATGAGGGCTATTGATTAAGCCTGCTTTAATTTAATGTATCTGTCAGTTTTAACTGAAAAAAAGGATGAATGAATGTGTAATGAAGTCAGTGGGTGGTGAAAGTGGGAACACTGATATACTATAGCCACAATAATATTCTGTTGTTCTTGACACAGAGGCTTTTGACCTCTCGCTTATCAATATATATACACATATAAACAGTCTGTGAGTACTGTTGAGTTAGGTGGTCTGGCAATATATGCCCTCCCCTGTACCATGTTGCTGAACGATTATATATACATATAATTCATATATCATATTTACACTAGTGTTCAAAAGTTTGGGCTCAGTGAGACTTTTATTCAGCAAATATGAGTTAATTTGATCAAAAATGACAATAAAGACATTTATAATGTTACAAAGTATTTCTATTTCAAAGCATATTAAAATGATTTCTATAGGATCATGTGATACTGAAGACTGCAGTATAAGTTGCTAAAAATTCAACGTTGCCTTGACAGGAATCAATTACATTTAAAAATATATTAAAACAGAAAACAGTTATTTTGAATTGTAGTAATATTTCACAATATTACTGTTTTTACTGTATTTTTATCCAAAAAAGGCAGCCTGTCTGAGAATAAGAGGCTTATTTAAAAGCATTAAAAATCTTATTGACTCCACACTTTGAACGGTAGTGTACATGCTACTCCAAGGTACTTCAGATAATACAATGGCACATGTACCACAAAATACTACTGGTATTATCATGGTACTGTATTTTTGTGTATTTTGTAAGTGATTTTTGAGATTTCTGTGCAGGATTGGCTGAACAGTTTCAGTGTACTTGTTAAACTATTGTGCAGTTTTTATTATAGCTCAAGGTTGTTGTTTGAGGAGAGCAACGCTGTAATATCTCTCTATGGGAGTAAGATGTTCTCACTTTGTTCATTAATTATGAAGCAATTATTCTGAATCCTGTACTTAAAGTTTACACCCTCAGTGGCATTTACATTGGCGCTACAAAACATCATTAATAATGCATGAAATGATGATGTATTTTGGGTGTGTGCTTGTTTACTGTATGTCAGTGTTATACAAATCCTGGCGGGAATTACAGATGAATACACACAAGTTCATTCAAATTAAATTCTTGTTGTTTAGAGTCATAGTTTCACAGTGCGTGTGCATGTGTTCAAGTAATTAAAATAAAAATTATGTAAGTGTGTTTAAAAAAATAGCACTGTGTCACTCTATTTTCCTCTCTCTACAGGAAAACAATTGAGGTGAAGATTATAGATGATGAAGAATATGAAAAGAACAAGACCTTCAGCATTGAGTTAGGAGAGCCAGTGCTACTAGAGATTGGACAGAAACATGGTAAATTGTGTGAAATATTTGTGTTTTCAAACATCTGAATGTTAGAGTTCTTCAGTATTTATTCAGTATTCAGTATTTGAATTAAAAATGTTCATTTTTAATCAACAATTTTTTGATTGTTAATGTTGCAGAATTATCATTTAAATTTGAATTTTAATAGGATTAAGATGGAATGAACGTCACTTAATTTAGAAATTCACATAATTTAGATTGATAGAATTTATAAAAAAAAAACCTCTAATAAAAATTCTTCAAATGCATGGGAATGCAGATGAAAATTAGCCTGTGTGGCTAAATCTGGCACATTTACATGATGCTCATGTCAATTAATGTACATTTTCCACTTGTAAAATAAAGAATAAAGAATATATATATATATATATATATATATATAGAGTGTAAATAAAATAGCAAAGATAGCCTCATTGGCAGCGCGGCGACATAAAATAGCGACGATAGCCTCATGGGCAATGCTCCGACATTAAAGCCATTACGCTTCAGGCGTCCCGACTTCAAATCCCGGCTCGTGGACCTTTCCGAATCCCACCCCACTCTCTCCTGTCTACCAACTGTCCTATCAAAATAAAGACAAAAAACGCCAAATACAAATCTTCTCAGACTTATGCCCCCTCCAGAAGCATGTGTTCTGCAAGTGAATGTTGCCTTGTGGTGCTATCCCAAAGAGGCACAAAATCACTCTCATGGACGTTTTCCTGGACTGTTCCCAGCTGGCGGAACGACCTGCCTATCTCAATTCCAGCTGCTGAGTCTTTAGCCATTCTCAAAAAACGTCTAAAGACACATCTTTTTTTGCCAGCACCTGACCAATTACTACTAGCACTTACCTATTCTATTCTATTCTATTCCAGTGTTAATTTCGTCAACGAAGACGGCGACAAAAAATATTCGTTAATGAAAATTTTTTCTGTGACTAAGACGAGACGTTGACCAGCTAAAACTAATATCTGATGATAAAAACTATGACAAAATTTATGCCGCATCTTCGTTAACAAGACGAGACGGGACTATAATGTTATTTGAGGACTACCGGACATCCAAAATACATCCTATAGGCTACTGTCTTGTCCTTCAAAATGTCATTGGATTGCAATCGGATAAGGGGCGTTTGCATATTTAGACTCAGTATGGCAGCCGCAGTGGATGGATAGGCTACCAAAATGCGAACTAGCGATCTGAAACAATTGCCTCAGCACCCGAAGGGGTAGGGATAAGGTGACCAGACGTCCCGTTTTTCCCGGGAGTCACAATTCGTTGTCGATTAACTTAAAGTTAGTGAAGGTGGGATAGGCGGAATCGCGCTGATAGAAGTGCTCTCTCTCGCGCACGCTCCACTTCTTCAGTTCTCATATACTGCGCACGATCAGTTCTCAGTGCTCAAATACACACACACAGTTCAAATGTCTATCGTGTAGACTAGAGTATCTCACTTAAATACAGTCGGTTATGGATTAAGTGAACGTAAACAGGTGGGTGAAAACTGAACGTGTGTCAGTATTACATGCATGCCTTCC